TTCTTCTAGAACGTTTAGATGATTACTTTTGTTATTATTAAGAGTTATTAGAGTTTTTTTTAGTATAGATGAATAGTAATTGTAAGCATAGACCATTTTATATAAATTCAATAAATTTTAACCCTTCCACTAGCTAATTCCGAGATTTATATGAATTTTGCCGCCGTAGCAGTGGCATCCGAGTGGAAAGGGTTATATAATCTTTATATTGCTATTACTAGAAATATAACAAATTATATATACACTATTCGATACAATTAGCAGCCAATTCGTCGAATAAAACTAATAATTAATTTTTAATTATTGTAGAAACACTTATGTGCAGTAGTATTTTGAAAGATATTAAATTATTAAATTTGATTTGATTAAATCTAGTTAAAAATGTATACAAAGGCAGAAAACACAATATTTGAACAATATTTAAAATAAAAAATTAGCAAAAACACAGAAACAAGATTACAATTTTAATTAACACAACATTTTGATTTAAAATAGTAGTTATGTTTTTGTTTTTGGTTAATTAAATTTTCTAACAATTTTGTTCAAAATACTTTACAATTAAGTATGTAAGTATTTACACTTTATTACTACTTTTTTAAATTAGTATTTTTTTTTAAATTATATTCATTGTTTAAAACAATTGTTTGTAATTTTGACATACTGTTATTTATTATATATATTTTAATTCGACGCGATTGGCTGTTAATTTATGGTTATGGTAATGTTTTATAATATTATAAAAATGTGTCAATTTATACTAAAAAATCGCTAACTCTTCAAATGGCTTGAATTACGTTCCAGAAGAAATAAATTTTCCAAAATACTGATTTTTAAAAAACAGACAAAAATTTCCCAGCTTACCACGGAAAACTTTACATTTCTATTTTTATTAAAAGTTTTTACAGCTGAAAATTTTTGTACACACTTTGTAATTTTTTATACAACAGCCTTATTATTAAATTAATATCTAATTATCTAATTAGCAGTTAATAATTATCTAATTACTATAGTAATATTATAACCATATATCTTAAAATGATTCTTATGTGAAAACCATATCTTATTAGCATGTATGCCTACAATATAAACAAATATTGGATATATATATATATATATATATATATATATATATATATATATATATAAGTGCATATTAATAATAATTATTTTATTTTATTTACAATCACACGTTCCAAATAAAAGTAATGACTTTGTATTACATCTGTATTACATTTGTTTAGATATCAATATATCTAACTTTATTAATAATAAAAATTATTTAAAATATATATATTTACGCTAAATTTAGGCGAATATATATATATATATGACTAAATCGATCGACATTTTATTCTAATAGCCAAATATTTTAATAAAATCTTTTGGATACAAGATAGATTTTATAAAATTCATAAACGATGAGTTTTGATGCAGTATCATAATTTTAATACAAAATTCTTGTATTTTTTTAAGATGATTTATTAATTGATGTTTTATTACTAGCTGAATTGTATTTTTATGTTTTTTAAATATTTTAAAGTACAAAAAAAAATTATGTAAGGAATTTGATAGTTTTGTGTTTATGATGCAAAAAATTAAAAATCGTGATTTTTAAAATATTTGTTTTAATCGTTTTACAGTTAATATTGTAGCCATTACATTGATAGTCTTAATAAATATTTTATTATTATAGAAACCGTTAACGAAGTTCTGTGCAATCAAAACTATTTTTTTCTATATTTTCTGTAAAAATGGTTAAACCTACAGATTTGATTTACGGTTGTTGCAAATTGTACAAATATACAAAAAATTTTTTGTTGTTTATAAAAATTGGCCACGTTTATTTAGCATTGTGTCAATTCCTATATGCATTTAGTTTTGGTCATAAATGGTTTAAAATGATTTTTTTTTGTCAGATGGTGTTTTGAAATTTTATGAATTTATTTTTTATAGTAGATTGTCTATAAAATTGATGCAATCCCATTTTTTGGGGTTACTGTTTCAATATTTAATTTGGTTTTATCCACAATTTTTCGAGTAAGTTCTATTTCAAGTGTCTCATATGACTTAGACTAATTTTCTTAAAATTTTGCTAAACTTTATGCAATGTACTCGATTTTAGTTCATTTTACTGGAATAAGTCGTAAATGGATTTAACACAATTTTACCCAAATTTAACTAATTTAACAAATTTATTCATTAAGATGATGTAATCTTAGTTGCTCTATTTTGTTTGTTTTGTAATCAATTAATTTAATTCCGATCAAACTTACTAGAATTTAAATTTATATCAATCATTTTATTTGATTCACTCAATTTCACTCAATTAACCAATTTTTACTTTTTAATTTTAAGTCAATTTAACAAAATTACAATCAAATTCAATGGATATTATTCGACTTCCTCACATTTACAGTTTAATTCAATTGGGATTCACTCAATTTTTATGATTTTACTCTATTTTAGCAAATTTGCACTTGATACATATATTTTACTCTATACAATTTACTCAATATTATTTGATTTTGAATCATTTGGTTTAACTTTACATCAAATTTATTAAATTTTATATTGATTCCATTTGAATGGAATGAATTCATTTGATCCAATTTTATATAATTATATGTAATTTGGGTAAATTTTTGACAATTTCATTTGATGGCGCATAATTTCAGCCCATTTAATTTGATTTAGCAGATAACTTGCAATAAAATATTACTAAATTCATTCACATTCACTCAATTTATCCAGATTCACTCAATTTATTGAGAATTACTCAATTGGATTCACTCATTTTTGAGTCAATGTATAAATCATATGAAACACCCAAGTTTTCATCAGTAACTATTTTTATTATTATTGGTCAACATTTTTTATTTTAAGTTTTGCAACTGCAGCACTTATAAAATTTTTAAAAAGTGTACGAATATTTGTTGAAAAATCATTATAATTTCACTAATCATACATTTATGATTTATATCAGGACTTGCCGAGAAAATATAACACAAATGTTAGGAATAATTTTGTAAAGTTATTAATAGTTAAAGTACGGATCATCTATCTGAATCAATATGGATAATGTTTAAGAAAATTCACCAAACAAAAACTAAATGTTGGGCCTACAATTATTTGAGAATTGTGCCGAGTACATTTCTGATTTACACCAGAGCAGCCTTAATTTTCTTGTCTCATTGAATATCCTCACAGATGCAGAAATATTAGAATTGACATTGAAGATGAATACGTCTTGTACCGCATGGTTTAATACATATAAAAGTACTGTAATCAGGTTCTTCTTAACCATACTTAATCGATCAAAACATTTGTTTGATCAATAATAGGTTAATATTAATCGAGAATTCTTCATTACACTCATTTGTTACACAAATCCCTTCAATTTTCTGTATATACTTAAATAAACAAACAACGTATTTATTTAGCGACTAATTTTAACATAAGCTTAATTAGCAGCTTAAGTATACTAATTTTTTCAGTTCCATATCATCGTTTATGATTCAAAGCAAAACGTCCTATTTTTATTACTAAAAATGCTTGATCACTCATCTGCATATAAATAGTTTATATAAATATTCACCTAAGCCTTCCAAAACTCTATGCAAACGTAGTTTAATTTTGGCACCACTTTTTCTAATTTTAAGCAAATTCCAAATATCACGTCCAAAGATATTGCACAAAACACTCGACAAAATCGAAATTCAGTCGATATAAAGTAGAAATCGAAAAAAATATTGTATGACCGATTAAACAAAGATTTCTAGATTCTTTTTCGATTTCTACATTTATAATAATTACATAAACAGTAAACAATCTTTACATCCAAGTAAGAATAAGCAACTTACCAACAAGTTTGGTACTTATATTCTAGAGTCATATTACCAATTCTGATTCACTCACACCATTGTTCTCAACATCAACTTTTCTCCATTAGTGATGTCCTAATCTGCCATTCTTAGGAACTGCTCCAACAATCCTAACTTTGCCTTGGGCGTCCGAAAACTGAGGAGGCGGTGCTAGAACTCTATCACTCGCTCCACCTACGAATTCTGGTGGAGGAGGCACAAATGTGTCTTCGGCTACTTCTGATGAAGCATTTGAATTCTGTGTCGAAACGTTAGAAGTCAGGTTTTCTTCTGCAGGTGGTGGCAGGCGTGCTAATGATACTGCTTGTCGTGATGATGTTGTTATGAGATTTGAATCGGGATAGAGTTTGTTGCCGAATTGGCGGTGCTTGGTGGTGGATGATTCTGTTGTTTGCTCAATACCTAGAAAAATTGAATATTTATTAGCATTATATAACTATAGTAATATTTGGTCAAGTTCTAAGTAAAAAAATAACAGCGATAAAATTTTAAAGAATTAAGTAAAACCAATTTTGATGATTAACAAAATAGTTGAACAAGTATTCTTAAACTTTTCTAAATAATGGCTACATTATGGACAATCAGATAGGTAATAAGCGAAAGAAGGCAAGTTGCGTAATCATGCAAATACGTGTAAATAATCAACTTTATCAACAATAATAAGAATTATCACTTCACTCAAAAAGTCCGTAGGATAACTAAGAAAAACCAATTTTTTGCCAAAATTCTTTTTTACTCAATATAGTTTTCTTCGAAGACGATATACCGATTATAGTAAACTTCGAACTTTTCGAAACCATTTTTATAGTACGATTTGTACTATGCCACAAAATTCAGCTATCATCTCATCACTTGGCAAAAATTTATTCAGAACGAGCATCCTTTTGAGATCGGAGAACAGGATATGGACGCTGGAGAACAGATCTAGAGAATATAGTGAGTGGTGAATCAATTCGAAACCCAATTCATGTTTTTGTTTTGGTCATTGTTTTCACGGATTTGTGACCTGGTGCGTTGTCCTGATAGAGCAGCATGATGTTCAAATGGGACTGTTTTTTCGATTTCAATCTTCAAATGTTCCAATAACATTATACTATTATATTGATGAAGACATTACTCACGAATCCCAAAAAGCTGACGCTATAATCTAGCCAGCAGATTATTTGCATTTTTTCTCGTCATCATGTCTAGTCCACTCGGCTAAATAATCGTCTATTCAACTCCGGGTTGTAGTGATGAAGGCAGGTTATAAATATGGTGGTATTATGATGCAAAGACTCAGTTTTGTTTCAATTGAGACTGTGCCAAATACTCTTACGAATCTTAAACTCGTTATGTTTTTGGTCAAATGTGAGTTCGCGCGGCACCCATTTAGCACAGGGATTTTTTCTATCCAAATATTCGTGACAACTATCTCAGACAATTCTATTTTTCGGTTTTCCAAAACGTTTCGGTGTTCTTTTTTGGTATTTTCCGTGTAACCTCAATTGGCCTTTCAGAGCGTTCAGCGTCATCAGTGTTCACGATTAAAATCAGCAAACAACTTCTCCACCATTTGCCTCGATTTGGCACACTCCAGATAACACTTATCAAGAGATACTTTGGCAGCAATGGTATTTTTACCCATCAAAAAGCAATGATATATCAAACCTCAAATTTGCTTTGAATTCATGGTTTCAAAAAACTCAAAAGTATCGTCACTTGAACCTCTGTAACTTTTGTAAACTAATCGTCGGATTGTCATGAAATTTTGATATATATCTTCTTAAAGTTGTTACTTCCTACAAATCATATCGATGATTACATAACTACATCATCTATGTGTTATCATACAGACTTATTGAGTGACGTAATAGCTGTCTAAGCAAAATGTTCAATTATTTATTTCAAGAATAAAGATTTCGCTTTCATTAAAAACCATTTTTATTTTATATCTTTGAAACATACTTTATCAGTAGCTGTATGAAATAAATTAATTTGTTTAACACATTTAATTTAATCCATTTCGAGTTCTAGAAATGTATTTTATTTGAGTGTGAACGTAAACTATAATCAGTAGCTAAATACAAAACACCATAGTGCTTCGGCATAGATTCCGATTCCGCATAAAACTCAAACTTTGATGAATTTTTATAGTTCAACCGCTTATCCTAGGCCTATAATATTTTAATATGTTATTTCAGACTATGAAATCTATCATTGTACAAAGTTTCATCAAAATCCTAAAGAAGTTCGATATTTAATTACAAAGAAACGGGCAGAACGATCTTTACCAAAAACTGACCAAAGCAATTCCTAAAACATGGACAAAGAAGATTATACTTCTGCCAATTACAAAGAAATAGCTTGGACCAACGATAGACTTTCTCGAATGCCTTTCTAATTTTTTACAAACAATTCAGAATTACGTGAAACGTCCAGAAAACATAAAATTAACACATGGGATTCTAAAAATCCATTGATGAAAAAAAACTTCTTCTTAAGAAAATAATAATGTTTATTATTTTATTTTCCTTTACCTAGTCTTTCTGCTGCCGATCTGCCAAGCGTTTTACTTCCCTGATTCCGGGCCAGAGCAATCGAGTTAGCCTGCTTTCTGGTCAGACTATTATGCCTCTGCATAGTTTTGGAAAATCCTAAATTAGACTGAATGCCTCCATTTATTTCTAGTTGATGTTGTTGCCGCAATTGAGAAACTGTATTAGTTCCCAATTTTGTTGGAGCAGGAGACTTCTTGTCATGTTGTTGCTTGTTTTGATCTGAAAATTTACCTAAAAATTGATAAAACAGAATTGATAAAATTATAAGGCGTTGATAGTTCTACTACTATTTATTTTTATTATAGTATCAAATAGTATAATTAAATTCTTTTTACCTTTACTATTTATATCAGCTCCTTCTTGGTCTGAACTGACGCCGCTAGAAGAATTATCTCCGGCAGTTTCATTTCTCGTGACATTGGTGTCGGTATTGGCACCATCTTGTTCTCCATCTCCTGCAGGATTTTCTTTTTGTTCTAGAAAATCATCTGGATATGACTTTGAACATTTAAGACGCGTCCTTATTTTCTGTATCTCGTCCACTGAGAATGAATGCGCGAGAGAAGTTGAATTTGTACTGGAACCACTGTAAAAATAAATACAAAATGATTGATATTGGACAATAAAAAAATGCTGAATATTTAGTAATAAATTAAAATATCTTATCAATTATTAAATACCTCGTATTGCTGTTACCACTCGTCTCGCTAGCTGATCCATTACCGTTAGTTCCACCATTGGTTTGAGATTTGACTTGAACATTAGGAGTATTATTTGATGGTATTATTCGTTGTTGTGATTCTATAAAGTAATAAATTATTAACAAAATCGTTTTGACATATATTGAAACTTTCAGTTTCATTTTTGTGGCAACTTTTTGAAACCACAGGCTAGTTTTTGTTTGAAGATCAAGCCGTAACATCAAAATGTTAAATAGAATTACTTAATAATTTTCAATAAAAATTGTGCTAAACTATTTCAGCTCCAAATATTTTATTATGCGTATAAAAATATACTTATGTATTTCCAAGAAAATTTATTTAGTGCGGCATTTAATAACATTTATAGCTACTTTAATAAACTATTTATGTTTTCCTGTAGACAATTATATGGCAAGAGCAAAGCAACATAGATAATGCATACTAGTATAAAAAAAATCCAAACAATTTATTTCATACCAGTTAATTGTTAAGTACCAACCTGTATTAATAATAGTATTATTATCTCCATGTGTAACTTTGATTCTCTGCACGTGTGTCCTGTCTCCCGAAACGGGAATTGTGACCCCTATTCTATTACTTTGCAGATTTGGATTAGTGTTGGACCTGATCCTCCCTTGCATTTGCTCCTCATCAGATTCACTCATACTGTAATCGGGCTCTGGTATCGGTGGAGGCAGAGTTGCAGTCTAAAAAATTGATTTAATCTATTTATGTATTCAATATTCTGTAACCAGACGCTAATATACAATTATTAATGTATTTAGAATTTTTATTCCAAATCCTGGTACAACATCTCACTATCATCACTATCAGTTTTTGGACTTCTAATATTTTCTTCTAAATAAAAATTGATAGGCTATAGATTTGGTAATACTGCTTATTAATATTAATATCAAATTGCGTTTTCATTTAACCAAAAATCCCTTAAATATTGAAATACAAGTTAAATCATCAATCTTGGTTACTAATTTTTCCTGTATACTGGACTTTTACCATATACGACTTACATTATTTATGCTATTCTTTCTGATAGGTTGCGCATAAGGATTTGAAGTTTGCTGATTTTGTTGCTGCACAGCGTTGTCCTGAACTGATGTCGACGACTGGCTGGTATCACGCATACTTTGAGATTTTCGGACCTGCAAAAATAATGAATGAGCATGATGAAAATTAATTCATTCAGTTTCAAAATCTTAATATTAATCTATTAGTCTTACTTGATTTCTATTGCTTGATTGCTCTTGCTGTTTTGCTCTATACCCTACAGCTCTAATATCTTGTGGAGATGCATATAATTTGGCACTAGTTGCAGGTCTAAAACTTGACATTACTGCATTTGGATCTCCAGATACTTCACTGCTGTTTGGAATGCTTTCTTGGGCTAATAATCAAAACATTAATAAGCTACAATTGTTGATATAATTATTTACACCAAAATAGTTATTCAATAAGGTCAATTTCGAACCTTTGGTGGTATTTCCTGACGTCTGATCCAATTCCGATTTGCCTCTAGAAACATCAACAGCAACTAGTTGACCAGTTGTTGGAGGCGGTGGTGGAGGATGAGTCGGGGGAGGTAATTGTCTAGCACCTATAAATAGTAAAAATTAGCAAATATATTATGATTTCATTCTTATGCAATAGCACTATAGAGTGACAAATACCTGCAGCATGTTGGACATCTTCGACACTGCGATGGCGGGCTCTACTGACACTCCATGTCCCCCAAGAATTACTGGGCAATTTATTTGATCCAATTAAGCTACCAGATGCACTTAGACTGGATGCAACTGGTGAACCCAGCGGTTTACTGTTATAAATGATTTATTATCATTAGTTAATGTATATAATTTGAATTGTATAATACTCAAACAACTCTTCAACTAACCCTGCTAAATCTGGTGTGCTGTGAAAATCTCTATGGAGCAGTTCTACTCTAGGTACAGCTACCGCCTTGGCTCTAATAGATGCCTAAAAAATAATGTTTTATTGATTTATATTTTCGAAGGAGTTGGATAAAAATTAATATAAAATTATTGATTACCTTTCCTTTACGTTTCATTTCAGCAACACTAGCGTATACTCTAGGTTTAGCTGGAGATCCTGGTGGGCTTTGATCCATTCCAGATTGGAACCGAGAACTGCACATCATTGTCGATATTCTGGAAAACAAGTCAAAATAGTAGATGATTTGCATTGATCGTAGACAAATATAAATCAAAAACAAATTAATGCTGATAATTTACCAAATTAGAAAGACTATATCGAATAAAAACTGATATTGTTTAACTAAAATTATATATTATATAATGTATTATGCAACTGACCTGTTTCCACTACCAGTCGTTGAACTCTGTTGACGTTGGAACAATTCTTCCAATTCTGCAGCAGTAATTCTACTTGAACAAGGTCTCTGCCTTATACTAGCAGTTCTAGGCTGGTTCGGATTCTGGTTACTATTACCTCCTGGGCTTCCGTATTCGGATGTGCTCTGGTTTATGCTATGTCTGGCTGGACTGTCGTGCTGAGAATACGCGAATGTGGAATGGTTGCCATCGGAACGAGATAAGTGAGGAGACATCTATGAAAAAATGTATTAATATAGTATTGAGGAAAAATGTATATTTCTGTATTATATCCAAAATTTCTTTACCTGCACAGACTCGGCAGAACTCGATTTCGTCGTCGATATTCCAGTAGAATCCAAATCATCAGATGATTTTTCACCACCTCCTTCTAAAATAAATTATATATATTAATGAGTTGATAAATTTTAGGTCACTGAATCTTCTGTTTTTTTTGTACCTAAACCTGCTACCATGCTCTTAGCCCTCGCACGACCCACGCTTAAAGTTGTTCGAGGGTCACGTCGAGGTGGTGCAGGAGCCGGACCGCCGCGCCCTAAAGTACCCGAGCCAGTTTGTCCAGGAAATATTCCTGCCCCGGCCTGAAAAATGTGTGAAGTTATTGGTGTTATTATCGACTTAAAGGTTTTTTGAATAGCACGTTGTAAGAGTACAAAGATCACCTAATACTAGTATGTATTATAAAATCATATTACAAAATATGACTCAAATGTTATAGTAAAGACTGATTTGGCAAATGATAAAAATTGAATGAGTAAAATAAAGACTATTTTTACCTTTCTCGGTAACGTTGCAAAATGTTGTCTCATAGATTGATGATATGGATTTCCTCCACTGCCATTCATATCAGCCCCACCCATATCGGGTTCGTCGAATGCACCAGGTCCAGGGTTGTGACTTGCTGGAGCAGACACCACAGTCATCTGGACGAGTTCGCCAGAAGCACGGATCAGTTCGACGACCCGTTCGTGAGATGCAGCGCTGACATCGGTGCCGTTTATCTAAATCGTAGAAAATATTAAAAATGAAAACTGCACTAAGAATAAACTATAGTATGCTTTATTCAAACTGGCTATAATTTAGTGAAATTATTTGAAATTAGTTTGAAGACAGAAATAGGCAGGTATATTTTATTACCGCAAGTAAGAAATCTCCTGGTTTCAATCCTGCCATATCAGCAGCGCCGCCGGGGTCTACATCGTCCAAGTATTGAAGAGCTGGACAACGTTCAGAGGGTCTGAGAGCCATCAGAGGCGATGATGCTTTGGCACCACGTAAAACAAATCCGAAACCTCGTCTGGCTCGGTGCAAAACCACATCTCGAGGTGTGTAGTTGTTTGACGGTGTTCCGGGAGAATTGTTGCTGAAATAAAAAAAATCGGAAATGACATAACTAGTACTCTATTTTTAAGGTGAGTAATTTTCATCGTAACCTATCGATTGAGTGTTCACTATAATGTCCATTTTTATATTTACGTATTCAATAGAACTCATAAGTTTTGCACATTCGGCTCTAATAGACGCCTTTTAAGATCAAAATTTAAAAGTTGAACAAGACATCATCACTTTCAACGTATGCAATTTATAATGCTAATGTATCAATATCACCAATAACAAAAACTGTTCTACATATTTATCTGGTAAAAACAAACTTAAATTATTGCAGTCATATTATATTACTAACGTTTTCTTAATCCGTGGAGCAGTAGCACTATAGTGTCTCTCCTGATGATGATGTCCTCCACCGGAATGGGTTTGAGGCTGATTACTTGTTGACGAGTGGCGCAGTCTGACCTCCTGAACACAATGCGCCGGAAACAAACCAACTGCACCAGCTCTAGTAACTCCTTCCAGCAATCCACAATCGGTCGTTGCAGTCACTGAATTGAAATGATATAAATAGATTAAAGACTTCAAGATTTCAAGTTTTGAGATGTAGGTACAACTGAAGACAGCTAGGAATAAATTTGTTTCGTAAGAACAAGAGAAAAATTACTAAACCTCTAAAATAGATTATAAACTGTAAAGAAATGGCTAGATTTTACTCCCAAATTTAATAAATGTTTCTAACCTTTTAGCAACAGGTCTAATGGCATTTGCAATACATTCTATAAAACCATTTCTTTGATATTTTATAAAATACACATAAGCAGTGAAAACACCAAAAGTATCAACTTTACTGTACCTGTCATCCAGTGCTCGTTGTGTGTACCATACAAATTTTATGGTGTATGGATTTTATGGATATCATTATATTACTCAATTACCTTCAATGACTTCTCCTCTCTGCAAAACCAGATGTCCATTCATGGACGGAGGCGGACAATAGGGTTCCAAGCAAACCACTGTCGTTCCGCTATCAAATGTGGCCATACTTCCTCCTCCATTTGAATTGGAACCAACATTTCCTGCACCGTTATTGGAACTGCCGTTGGTGGTAGCAACCACAAAATCTGAACCAGCGGTACCAACTCCTGAAGATTCACTGCCTTCACCACCAGATTTGTCTAAAGAATAAATTTGTTGGTTATTTAAAACTGTGTATTCATGTCAGAAACATTGTGCGTATTGCATTATTCAATTACTATCAAAACTTTCAATTTCATAACTAATTAAATCATTATACATCCATCTGCCCAAGTCGTAACGGATTTCCTTCCTACTTCTGAATAATAGACAATTTCTCAATACTTTAATGATATCGTGAGAAATTGTCGGTTTTTGTATCATTAGTCAGTAGTTCATTGTATTGTTATAGTGTCACAATTAGCTATCACACTTTTTTCATGATTATAAATAATAATTAATAATATTCAGTAGATCAATTTAGAAAAATTACATCCGTACTGTGAAAATAGGAAGTCGGAAAGTAGTTGAAAGAGATTGTAAATTATTATTTATAGAAAAATAGATTATTATTCTTGGTTCTCATTATTCGACTTCACCCTACACTGTATCTTCTGTATTTTTTTTTCTAAATCCGGCTCTATCTCAATTTTTTGTACGCAGGGATCACTTTGCATATCGGCTTCTGCATAATAAGTATAATACTGAGCTTTTCCATATGAATATATGTATATATTTAATCAGAGAGCTGGCATTGTAGAGTTTTTCATAATTTGCAATTAAAATAATATTTAATAAAATGTAGATGATTTCTTCTTTTGCGTAAAAAAGTATATTTGTTGTAAATGATACCAAACAAAAGTAATTTAAATGGATTTACAGTATTTTTAAGGAAATACGTAATTTTTATTAGAAATTAATAATTGTTTTTTAATACATATTTATAAAAAAAATAAAAACATTATGCATAATTTGTGGTTGGGACCAAAAAAAGAGAATACCACGAGCAAAACATGTGAAATTTGTAAATATTTATATTTGTAAATATAAAATTTCTTGATATAAAATCAGAAGTTAGTACCTAATTAAAGTTGAGAAAGAAAACCATATTTGCAAAAAACATGCTAAATTTTAGCCGGTATCATTCTGCTCCCTAGCAAACTATAACCCGGCTTGAATAAAATTGATGATTTATAAATCTTATGTTCTTATAGATTTAACACATAACATCAAAAAACCATAAGAAATAACTTGAACAGCCTTGAAGAATTGTATTGAATAGAAAGAGAAAGAAGGAAATACTGAGAAAAGCTGGTAAAAAACACTGTAAGACCAAATTTGCATAAAAAGAAAATTGGGTTGAATTCACATTTTAAAAGTGGAGTCTACTGCCAAATTCGATAAAAGAAAAAATAGAATAACTCGAACAATTGAGATAGAATAGAATGTTTTTGGCTTGAAAGAAAAAATCAAAAATAATTTAAACAGCTTTGGAATATTGTATTTAAGAAGAAAAGGCAAATTATCAATACGTTACAAAGGTTACAAAGCACTGCCAAAACAGAAACATAAAGAAAACAATTAGATATAATTTAACGTACAAAACTGCGTTGAAATCATTACATAAAAAGGTCTGCACGATTCCAGTTCACAAAAAATTAGACTTAAAAAAAAGGTCTTGAAAGATTGATACCAAATTGACCAAATAATTCACAATTACTATGAGATTTGTTTTAAAAATAGGGTAACCAGCTCTCAACCTACACGTATTTGAATTAGCATATGAAATGATATGTTATTATTTCGTATTGAAGTATGTGTGGTGGAGAACTAGTTTGCATGGCAGAAAATATATATACGGTAACTAGTTCCTTTGTGAGATAATTTCATTTATTTATAAGTGGATACGATATATATAACTTATATCTTACTATATGTTGATATCTGAATAATTTTTATATTTATATAAATTTTTATTCTACTCATACCATGATTTAAAAAAAGCTGTTTCCTATTTGTTTTCATTTGTAATATTCATATCTATAGCAGGACGTTTCCGAAGTTCATTTATTATTGCATCTTCAATAGTAATTAATCTTTTTTTTTCAGATTAAATATCTAAGAAATATTTCCACTTTTTACTTCAACGAGTACCGATATTGATTCAGGAAAACATGTCAAAAAAAGCATGTAGGTATATAAACATGTCAGCAGTTCAAAAACAATAATATGATATATAGAATATGATATAAATAATATTTTATTTTATATTCTTATTATTTATCTTAATAAGTAATTCAAGAGACATTTTTTTGCAATTTCTTGACAAACAACAATATTTTTTAAAACCAAATTTACACTTAAAGCTGCAAAACTTCAGTGTGAAAATCATAAAGTATGAAAATTCATAACACAATTTTTGCAAACCTTTAAGCTATTCATTATTTTGATATATTTTTAAATAATACGATAAATATAATCATTTAGCTCAATTTTATATCCTAATTTATCAAAATCTTATTATTTATTATTTAAGAAATTGTTTTCTTATTTAAGTATTCAGAATAGCACAACTTTTGGCAAATTAAATTAAGTTGCTTATCATAAACTATATTTCAATAGTATGAACACTTGTTAGTTATATTTATTTTTAAAACCATTTAATGAAAATTTTGAAAAAAATCCTGAATACATTCATTAGAAAAAATAAAATAAATATTTAAAATATATCATATAAAGTAAGTGCCAATGTGTAATTAGAAAATGGCCAATGTACCAGATTACAATGTCAATAAACAATAAAAAAATGAAAAAATGTATTTTTTCATATAATTTAAAGAAGTATTATTTAAAATTTATTTTGCTTTTCATAAATTTGTAATCTAGTTCTATATTTAGTATTTTTCTTAAATTTTATTAAAAGCTCAAACTTTCAAGTTTAAAGTTTGGTGGAGAAAATTGCACAATTTTCGAAATTATAAATTAGCTTATTCGTGAATTACATTTCAAAACAATAAAACTTTGTTAATTATTTTTATTTTTATAACAATTTAATTTTTTGTAAATTGGAGTATCATTCAAAATTAATAATGTTGGTTTTATTTTTCCAAATTTTTAATCATATACTGACATTATTAATTACATTATATTATTATACAATTTTTCTTAAATTCTATTAAAAGCTGTAACGTTATACAAATGTTTGCACAATTTGTGGAGTTATAAATTAGTTTATTCATAAATTGCATTTCAAAATTATAAAACTGTTTTAGCTATTATTGTTTTTATAACAATTCCATGGTAAATTGAATGCTTTTAATATTTATAAATTGAAATATTATTTAAAATAAATAGAGCTGTTTTTTTTATTTTTAATCATAATGAATAATATACTAATTAAAATATATTTCTTTAATTAACTATCTCTGTAAAAAGCAGCAACGTTCAAAATTTATTTAAAATTTTAATGTGTTTTTTATTTTTTAGAAGTTATAAGAATTTCTTGTAATTTTAAACATTTTATATAAGTATTTCAGTAATGTAAGAATTGGTTAGTTATTTTTGATTCTATAACAAAATCAACAACATCAATAATTTTATTTTTCTAATATTTTATTAATAATTTTATTTTTCTAACTTTTTAGTCATATTCAAAATAAACCAATAAGTAACCGTACAAATGATTTATGACCAAGTATTACACCAATTCAATTAATATCTATTTTATTCGAAAATAAATAAAAATATCAATATAAAATTATATTAAAAATAAAATACTGACTCAGAAAAAACTGGAACACAATAAAGTTTATGACAGTCCCATCCTTCATTCTGTAGGAATTATTTTTGTGCACTGAGAAATCGCTAAAGTTGTCAAACATTTTTTCCAATTCTTCAAAATAAGTTATTATATATTAAAAAAAGCTATTTAATCACACCAACGTATAAATATCACTGGATTTTGTTATTTGAGTTTCACCACTATACACTTGTTATAACAAATTGTTTAATTAATAATTAAATGATGATTAAATTTGCTCTGGGCTATTGGCTTCACAAAGCAGAAATAATATAAAAATGCAGAGAAATTGCAAAATGCAGTTGATTTTAATTAAACCCGTAAAATAATTGAGAGACGAGAGAATGATTTAATAAATTAGTTTATTTTAGTTCACATATAGCTATCAAAACGTATAAAACATAAAAATAGAAATAGTATTTAAAACGTATTTTCCAATTAAATGGGATCCTGATACGTCTAATCAAGACAACAATCCCTGAAAAATAAGTAAATTGGGAACTAAAAGAAAAATATAGATAAAAGCTGTGCTTGCAGTTATTGCTTTTTTAATTGAAATGTTTTTTCAGTCATTGAAAGCATTACCAAAATAAGAAGCAAGTCAAATTTCTAAATCGTGGAGAAAAAATAAGAATAGTATTAAACACGCACATTTTTTCAGTTATAATATTTATATTACTAAATACTACTTTAAAATATATATTAATAATAATTAATAATAATACAAGTTTAGGTGAACCATGAAAACGGTGGTGACAATGCAAATCTTCGAAAAATCGGAAAATAAATCTAAAATTTTATACTAAACCCGAATATCTTTAATGAATATTATTGTTATTAGAATTAAAATTATATTATTACAATGAAATATGCAGTCAAATATTTACATTATTGCCATGTATTAGAAATTTTAAATCATTATAAACATTGCCTAAAGAAGGAGAAAATGTGAATTTTCAAAAAGTCTTCGAAAAAGAAACGAAAATATTTGTACAAAGGGATAATATTGCGAATCAGATTATGCAAGGTTCGATCAATAATTACAGGCAACTAGTTTTATCCATGTAGATCTTTCCATCGCCAAAGTCTAAAATTTTTTTTGAAAATGTTTTAGCGGAAAGCTTCGAAAAGTCGGATAATAAATCTAAAAATTAATACTAAACCCGGATATCTTTAATGAATATTATTCCTATTTGAATTAGATTTATATTATTCTCATGAAATATGCAGTCAAATATTTCCACTAACACCATGTACCATATATCATGAATTTAAACATTACCCAAAGAAGAAGAAAATGTGAATCTTCAGAAGTTTTCGAAAAAGAAATGAAAATATTTGTACAATGGAATAAATCAGACT